TAAGAGCAGGGACTGGGGTGGGGGGTGGGGGGTAGGCAGTTTGGGACTGAATACAGATGTTCAGATTGGAGCCTATGCTGTAGCCAATGTGCACTTAGAAGTGAGGGGCAGGCAGGGCGTTGGTGGCGCACGCCTTTAATCCCAGCACTCGGGAGGCAGAGGCAGGCAGATCTCTGTGAGTTCGAGGCCAGCCTGGTCTCCAGAGCGAGTGCCAGGATAGGCTCCAAAGCTACACAAAGAAACCCTGTCTCGAAAAACCAAAAAAAGAAAGAGGGGCAGAAGGCGAGAGAGTGTGGTCACCTTGCTTCTAGCAATCTAGGAGACTGAGGACACCTAGGAATGGCTGGCCCCATGTGGTAAACTATTCCTGTACTCCCTAGCCAAGTGCTAGTCACTCTGGCCTCCTCACTCACCCTAGCTGCTGCTTCCCAGGGCTCCACCTCCCTAACAGCTGTTCAGAGGTGCCCTCCACCCCCAGTGCTGAGGACATGAGTCTAATGGGGACAGCTCCCGTGCAGCCTGACCACAGGGCAGCTGCTGGCTGTGGCAGGAGGCTCTCTCCTATTGTGCCCCACCCTTAGCTACAGGGCTCTGCCTTTGGCCAACAGGGCAGAGATTACAAAAGCCTTGTTACCTGTTCTTATAGAGCCCTACTGCTGTCACAAGGATGTACTAGGTGAACCATCTGAAGCAGACAGCACTGACCTAGCAGCCCACCCCCTGCAGAACCTGATAAAAGCATTAACCATTAGTGGCTATGTAAGCCACTAAGCTGGGTGTGGAAGGACAGGAACTTGGCCCTGCTACTGAATGCCCTATTTTCTCACAACCGCCCTGCCCAAACTAACATCTTTTTTGTTTTTGTTTTTCCAAGACAGGGTTTCTCTCTGTAGACCTGGCTGTCATGGAATTCTCTTTATAGAGTTCAGGCTAGCTTTGAACTCACAGATCCATTTGCCTCTGCCTCCCTGGTGCTGGGATTAAAGGCGTGTGCCACACTGCCTGGCTCAAATCAAAATCTTAAAATGAGGAAACCAGGCTTGACACATCCACTCTCTCTTATGGGCACTTTGACTGCAAAATGCTTCTATGCACTACGTGTGCCAGGGCCAGTGGAGGCCAAAAGGGGGCCTCAAATGCCCTGAAACTGGAGTTTCAGATGGTTATCAAGACACTGAGTGCTGAAGGTCAAACCCAGGTACTCCTGAAGAGCAGGGTTGCTGGCAAGCCACCTCCCCCACCTGCATGAGGGAGTTAGTTATCTTGATTAACTGCAGTGAGAACACCGACCTGCCTTTTTCTGTTGCTACTGTTTTTAAGAACACTATTATTACTTTGGGAGGGTGGGTCTCACTATATAGCCTTGGATGTCCTGGAACTCATACTGTAGACCAGGCTGACCTTGATCATGGAGATCTGTTTGCCTTTGCGTTCCAAATGTTAGGATGAAAGGCATGTGCCACCATGCCTGGCTTAAGTTTTATTTTATTTTTTCAAAGTGTATATATGTATGAGTGGCTATCTGTGTGCACTGCAGTACCGACAGAAACCAGAAGAGGGCATCAGATCCACGGGAGACGGACTTAAAGGTAGGCCACCAGTATGGTGGGTGCTGGGAATGAACTTGGGACCTCTGCAAGAGAACTCTTAACTGCCCAGCCATCTGAGACAGAGTTTCACCATATAGTCCTGGCTGACCTGGAACTTGCAATGTACTCCAGGTTGGCTTCAAACTCAACATTTGCCTGCCTCTGTCTCCCAAGTGCTGGGATAAAGCAATATGCCACCATGCCTAGCTCCTTTCTGATTCTTTTACTTTCCCTTTTCGAGACAAGGTTTCTCTATGTAGCCCCAGCTGTCCTGGAACTCACTCCATAGACCAGGCTGGCCATGAGCTCACAAGAGAGCCACCTGCCTCTGCCTCCCAATGGTGGGATTAAAGGCGTGCGCCACCACACTCAGCTCTTCTCTCTGCTTCTTGACCCATACATGTAGTGTGCCTGTTGCTATGACTTCCTTACTAGAGTGGCTTGTGATCTGTGACTGAGCCAAAACAAATCTTTACTTCCCCAAGCTACTTTTGTCAGGGCATTTTATCATAGCGACAGAAAAGTCACTAAGACACCTAGTCTATGACTATGGTATGACCATGGCTGTCCTGTCTGCCCCTTCAGGCTGAGCCCCTCGGGAGGCTGGACAAGCGTGGAGTAGGAGAGCGCAGAGAAAAACAGAAAGCCCCAGCCTGTGTGTGGCTGTGGGTGAGACAGCACACAGTACAGATGTAGCTAGGACTGGGCAGAAAGTGAATTGCCACATGATGACTTGGGCTGAGACAGGCTGGATAGGGAGTAAGTCCACATTCCAATACAGGTCACAGTGATGGAGGCAGTCCTGTGTCCATGAACATCCTTTTCTGTTGAGTGTTACCAGCTTAGCAACACCACAAGACTGTCACCATCTGAGACCCTGTGTGACTCCCAGGGTGGCTCGGCAGGGACTAATGTTGGCCCAGGGTCCATTGGGCAGACAGCACTGATGGTGTTCTACTGCTCAGACTAGGACAAATGACCAGGCCAGAGCTGAGGAATGGGGGGGAACGACAGCATCCGACTCATGAGGCTGTACTTTCTGAGAGTCCTGCTGCTCTCCAATGCAGAGCTGCTCATGGTCCAGCTCTGAAGATGGGGCCTAGGAGACTGTGATGGGCACAGGAAGAAGTGTCTCCTGGGCTGGATCTGGACAAGAATGTGCTGCCCGCCATTCCCAGCGACTAGATGCTTTCTTTATAGGCAAGTGCTTCAAGTTCCCCACTTGATGGGTTAGGGCTGGCCTTGTTGGTCCTGTGACCCACAATGAGTAGGAATGAGAACAGGTCACAGGGGTCTGTCACAGACCCACACCACTGCTCCAGAGTTTGCATGGTAAGTTCTGATAGCCAACATGCCAGCTGGTCTGTCTCCACCTTGACCTACAGTTCTCTAGTTTGATTGCTTTTTCTGCCTAAGTGCTGGAGATGATGTCTCTGGCACACTCTGCACAGGATGGTGGCCCACAACAATCTACCACTGAGATACTCACTGCTCATTTGGTTGTAGTTGGTATATAACCTTTCTCCTTTTCTCTGTCGAGTGTACTCCTATTCATCCGTAAAAGCCCATGCTCACACTCTTTCTGGGCTCTTTGCTCAGATCTCTGTTATATCATTTATGCCCCTCGGAGCTCTGGGAAGTCCTCAATTAGGTAGGTAAGGACCAACCCATTTCCACATCCTTGGAACTGCCAAATGCAGGTTGAGGCAAAGAGAACAACGAGACAGAGTTGTTGGGGCAGGTGAGGGCCCTGGGAGTCAAATGGGATCTGAGTTGGAGCAGCTGTGCCCAGGTCAGCTCTTACCTGTGTCATTGGCACAAGGGTAGTGATAGGTGTGGATACATCCTTTATAGGAGCACGAGATGGTCGCCCCGGCTTCATGACAGCTGGAACATGGCTGAAGAGAGAGGAAGGCAAGTCAGTCCTTGTGTGTCCAGACAGGCCCAACAGCACTTCTGCCAGAATAGCACTGCGATGCAACAGGGAGGGGAATGGCTGGGAGTGTTGGCCCTCTGCCACCTCCTGGGCTGGCACACTGGGTGGGGACCCTCTTGGGCTAGTGGTGCTAGTCACCACAGTGACCATGGCTGGCAGCCACCATCTGTCAGGTGCTGCTTACATGCTGGCTCTGGTGTGTCCTCATCCACTGGCTCCTTCTAGCAGCAGCAAGGGGGAGTGGCTTTCACTGCCCTCCACTTTCCAGATGGTGAGACAGGCCCCTTCCATGTGAGGGAGAAGCACGCTCTCTACCCAATGGCAGCAGCAGATGCACAGAAATGAGCTGGGGGGAAGAGTTGACATATGACCCCCAAGAGACTGATTTCATGTGAATCTGATGCCCCCCAGAATATGTCCAGCCCCTCTCCATAATGACTTTTTCTGGGCTCAGAGGCTGTGACCTGGCTAGGACAGGACAATGATGAGAAGGCTAAGGGATGAGTGACGCCAAACCTTGGAATAGGGAGGGATATAGATGGGTCCTAGGCCACTCCTGCTCCCAAGCCTGTCATGATGGACAACGAGGTAGGAGGGAAGCAGAGGACACAGAAGGCTCAGAGGCCAAGCACTTTAGTTAACAGTGCATTTGGTGCCAGGCATTGCTGCTAGTCCCAGCATAGCACCGTCTTCCCAAGGTCAGAGAAAAGAGAGCTGGGAACAACCCATCAGCTCAAAGATCCAGGTAGACCCAGAGCCACAACACAGCTGATCCAGGCTACCCTGGTAGGGTGGTTTCTACCCAAGCACTCTGTAGCTGGAGTAGCCAGTGGGGTGGGTCAGCAAGAGGAAGACATCCACGCAGTGTCTGGATGAGCCTCCCAAGGACCTAGAGCCCTAGGCCCACTTCTTAAGCCACTAAGGGAAGAGGAAGCATAGTGGAAACCCCAAAATAGACTAAGTCTCACTCACAGTGGCCCTTGGGAGTACTGTGAGGCTAACTATGGCCCCCTTGTGGTAGATAGTCCCAAGCAATCCTGAGGCAAG